TGAACAGTGAAACTAGTTCACAGAGAAACTTAGTAGAACAAATAAAAACAACATAGCAGTAATATAAGCAATTTGGAAACTTCTGTATTTTTTGTAGATGACACATTTGTGGAATGTTTTCARGTGTAGTTTCATACATAATCAGTTTGCCCCCTGTACACTGACCTTTGTAGCACATGTCAACTTTGTCAGGCTCSGCCCTATTCACCTGGCTKAACTGTATTTACAGTCATGAGTGCATCTGCAAGTTATCATCATGTCATGTGATACAGAAACACTGCCAAYGTYTGTGAGCATGTAAATATTCTAACACAGTTTCTGTTGAACATAGGGACAGTCAGCTGGGCTAACTTCTCATATGTCAGTGTAATAGAGTGATACAGCATATAAGCATGTTTGTATCTATTAAACTTTAAAGGTCCAGTGTGTAAGATTTAGGTAAAAGGGAACTATTGGCAGAAATTTAATGTAGAATAATCCTCATGATGTTTTCACTAGTTCCTTTCATCTAAATTGCACAAATTGTAGTTTTCTTTACCCGATAAAAGGCCCTTTATTTTGAATACTTTAAATGAACATTTACGGGACCCTCTCTACGGAGGCTGCCATGTTTTTTACATTAGTCCAGACTGGACAAACTAAACACCTTTTGAGTTTTTATGACAACTGAAGCTACCACAGGTTCTTTTTCATGATTGGAAAGAGAGGGGGAGGTGAGGGGTGTTCAGCTGCAACATGCAATTTCAATCTTCAATATCTTCAACATATCTTCAACGTTAGATATCACACAATTCTACACACTGTACCTTTAAGTACAGCTGAGGCTGACAAGACTTATTAGGGATATCATTAGGTATTCTTTCATAAACCTACAGTGAGTATCGGATTGAAATGCTATTTTTCAATATATGGGTAGCACAAAAGCCTCATCAGTCACATTTCATCATCTGGGGACCTGGAATGTCTGTGTCAAATTAAATGCAATCAACACATCATGCTATTAAAATGGCAGCTGTATCTGAGCCCATATTTATTTGTACGAGCACTTTTTTTGCAAGGAAATTAATTTTTTAAAACCCAAATCCAGGTTGATGAACCAGTGTTTAGTGCATCTGGCCTGATACACACAAACAATTATTTGGTTTGTGCATCAAAATATTGAATTCTACAGAATTTGTTTTACTGTCATCGGTGGCAAGGTGTTGCACTTTTTTCCAGTTAAACTTTGTTCCATATGTTTTTAAGGTTTAGTTGAAAATGTGTGTAAAATACATGACGCAACCAAAAATGTCTGTCCCTGTTCAGAACACGTCAGCTTTGTTTACAGACTCATATCACAGATTAATCTCAGCGGCCTGAGGTCTGTGGAGGACTGTGGTGATCATTATGGCTGATTAATAATTCATATGTCAACATTACATCTCTGAAACATATCTGAGTGTGTTGATCTCTGGAGGGACAATTAAAACCTGCATTGAATTCCCTGGCATACAGTATATCAGGGAAATTAAGAAAAACACGTCACCTTTGTTGTAAACTGAAACTTTGTTTTCCATTTGTTTTTCTGCTGTTGTTTTTTGGCTGCAGGAGAACAGCTCCTCCTTCCGATACTTTATCATGCTCTGAGGAAGGACCTTGAAAACAAATGCTAGATACTGCATATGTAAGTAAAGTAGAGTTACATTTGTGTATGAAGCCACAATTGCAGAAACGTGTAAAAAAACTTTTCATAGGCAAAATGACATGCAATTTTTCTTGAGATGTTGACAAAACTTAAGGATTGATGAAAGGAGTCAGGTATCATAAATTTCTGTCATAAATAAAGTACAATTTCAAAACAACAAAGGCAATTTTCTCCTCTGGTTTGTCCGCTCTTTGACATTTAGCACAATTGTCTTTTCATTATACATTTTAATGTACTGGGACATGAATGAGAATGAAGCAATTTTAATTAGTTTTCAATTAAAATGTAGAACCCTGACAATGGAAGAGCAGAGTAGAATAAGTCTACATTGACAACCTCAGCTGATGCCTGCTGATGAACTTTGTGTGCCTATCCAGACTAAGGAGAAAAACATGTCACCAGTTACTTTCAATTACTTTCACTACTATTGCCAGAGAAGGTGTTTTTAGCAGAACGCTGCAGCCAATGGCTCTGGATCAGGAGAAAAGACACCAACTAGGCTCCAAGATGTTAGGGACATGCACCTAGGTCTGATCAGCCTGTCGTGGGCCTGCCAAAGCAAAGGTGTCACCCAATGTTGCATAGAGTGAAATACAAGCTACCAATGTAAAATTGTCTTCGTCTCCGCTTTAGAAATAAAATAGTGTCTCAATGAATTCAGGCATTTCTTGGTGTAATTGGTAAGTCTTGCATTAGCAAGTGTAAGCAGAACCAACTGTCACTTACTCATAACACCAGTAACATTCATCTATAGGTCATTTAAAGCATTCAATAATTCACACACCTACCAAATGTAGAAGCACAGGTGACACATGTTTGCTGCATCCATCTTTAATCATTGTTTGAATTCAAAGATTACAAACACACTAACAATGATGCAATCACTCAAAATAAAACATGAAAACGAGGAGAGCATTA